CTCACACCTGCTTCTTGTTCTTCCGTGCTAGGAGTTTCTATCTTGTCCGCATTCTCATTACGCTTTCTCTTGAGAGGCTGAACAGACAGAGCCGCCATGCTCCTGCAGAGCCGTGTGCGCCTGCCGAATGAATATTTTTTAAAATGTGATCTTGGGGAGAGAGAAGTGAAAGAGAGGCAGTAAAATGTGTAACAATGAATGAATGAAAATCTAACTTCTCTGTAAATGTTTGTAAAACCACAATTAATTTTTTTTAAAAAAGAGGCTGACAGCCCATTACAATATTGGCAAAAGACATGGGAAATATTTTCACAGAGAGAGACATTCAAATGCTCAACAGACACATGAAGAAATGCTCAAAGTCACTGGCAATAAGAGATGTGCAAAACAAAACCATAATGAGATGCCATTTTACCCCAGTAGCAATGACAAAGTTTAGTAGGGCAGCAATCAATAAAGGTTGGAGAGGGTGTGGAGAATTGAGAACTCTCATACTCTGTTGGTGGGGTTTTAAAATGGTGTAACCAATTTGGAATACAGTTTGGCTGTTCCCCAAAAAGTTGAGCATAGAAACTCCATATGATCCAGCTATTCCACTACTAGGAATATATATATCCCAAGGAAATTAGAACTGATACACAAATGGAGATTACACTAATGTTCATAGCAGCGTTATTCACCTTTGCAAGACCATGGCAAGAGCCCAAATGTCCAACCACATCAGAATAGTTTGAGGAGTTGTGGTACATTCACACAATAGAATACTATGCAGCATTCAGGAGCAATGATTTTAAAAAATGCTACACCACTAGGGAGAGGTTGGAGAGCATTATACTGAGTGAACTGACACAGTGCTATAAGGACAAATACTGTATAAGACTTGTAAAAATAGAAGAATATCTAGTAAGGCATTATAGAAATCAAGGGAGAGAGGACTGAGAATAGGCGGGGTGAAATCACAAGGTTGCACAGCTTGGTGATTTGAAGGAAATGGGAATGATCTGGGCAAAAAGACAGGATAATGACAGGCACAATATAATGGTGATTAATTTTGTAAAACATAATGCATGAGAGTGATTGTATGAAACACAATGTGAATAAAGAATAGTGTGAAACACAATGTATACGAACTTCGTAAGCAATTTAAAAAAAAAAAAACAACAAAATACAACTAACTTATTTGTAATCAGCATTTAAAAAAAAATATTAGAACCCCTACTGTATAGAAGAATAGGAAAACGCTACTTTTGATCCATCCAGGTATAGTCTGAGTTTTTGTGAGGTGGACAAAGGAGAAAATTACTTTGGAACATTTTCTGGTTTGTTATTACTATGCATTTCAAAAAGCATAAGACTGAGAATCAGAAATATCCCAAGAAGTAAAGGAAGTTTATCACTACTGCTTAAAAAGTGAAAATAATGCCAAAAATGTAAGACCTTCATGATACAATGTTGTTACATACTGTAAATTTGGAATTATCTCAGCACTAACACTCCAGTAGATTTTTGAGGTCTGTAAATTGCAGAAGAGGAGATTTTTTTATTCATAATCCACAGAGAGATTAATGGATGAAATGAATTGACAGTGCAATTCGTTAGCACTGGGCCATCAGAGCTTCCTGTATAAGAACCACAGTAACCTTATATAAGATCAATGTTAATGTTGTTGTTGTTACATATCATGAATATGAGAGAAACTCATAGCTGATCTTTCAAAAAGTTTTCTGAGTCACTAAATCACATAAGAGGAGATTTCTCCTTTTTCTCCTGCAGTTTATCTGGTTGATGTGTAGTGATAGTGCAATTCTTTACCACTAAGCCACAAGTAGCCATCTAGTCAAGTACAACTCAGTAACACTACCAACAACAAATCTGAATCCCTTCCTATTCTGTGCCATCTTCATGATTTATGATACATATGAACCCAATGTTGGAGTCACCATGTCAGCTTATCTTGTTATAGGTCTTTCTCTCTTGTTTTTTTACCTTTCCAAACATGATATACCGTTCCAAGGAATAAACTTTTCTATTAACATGTGCAAAGTATGTGAGAT